GAAACATCTGCATAACTTCAAATTCTTATGTTAACATTTGATTTTATTATTTCTTTTGGAACTTCTGACTTCATAAAATCCTAAAGAAGAAATTTTGGCTTACAATTTAAGTCATCTAATAGTTATGGGAAAATTTTAACAGTGACAGTGTTTTTTGCTCTCTGAACAGAAGCATATGACCTCACATTTATGTGTTAAATAAAAACATAGTAATTGTGTAACTAAATAACCATCATGTATATCACACCTCAAGAAGCCAGCCTGGAGTGTTTCTGCTATGAAAGAGACATACCTGTATGAATAGTGAAGATGCTTTCAAGTATTTACTGTTTCTGCTAAAGACACCTCCACACCTAGTTTCCACGACTGGGGTATTTTAAGTACAATGTGAGGCTCTATTGGCCTTTAAACATATATTTTAAATAATTATAAATTCAACATATTCATTCAAAGTGCATGTGCTTGTGATACCAAACATATCAACCTAAATTATTCATTCTTCTCAATCCTATCACAAACATTTTACAAAATTCAATGAAAATAAATTACAGTTCATTGAAAGGGAAAAGTAATGTTTAAAGTTGCTGCTTTACTGTTTGTCTGAACTGTCAGCTAAACCATGAAATATTTCTTAGACACAACTTTTCGGATACATAGGAAGTAACTTCAGATCTTACATTTAAATGATACAGTTCACTTTCCTCCCCAACATTACATTTTCCTTTATTTCTTTTTCTTTCTGTTTTTTTTTCAAAAGCAAGTCACTGTATAGATACTTATTCTCTACACCACTTCCCTTTTGAAACATTAAACTGACACTGGAACTGACTGCACAAGATTGCATTTTCTCTTCCTAAACAACTTGAATTGAAAGGTTACTTAGTGTAACAATATTTACTTGCAGAATTGTGTTGTTACCAAGGGTATAATGGATGGTGGCTATGCAGGTTTACGCAAGAATGAGTGAAGCATGAGGCATTAGCCATGTGTTTGACATGTTTCAAATTGCTATAATCCAGCATTAAACACACCCAGCAATTCATGCCATTTCTTGCAGCCATAATCTTGAATAAAGCGTGCACAACCACTTATTATATAAATTAGTATATGACTCCCTGTTATAGTCACAACAGTGCTTTTGTGTTTATTTTGCATCAAGATGTAGTCTTTTATTTGTACAAATAGCAGGATATAAAGACATAGCTCAATTAGACCTCCTTACTTTATGATAGGGTAGTACTAAATGCTAGACTTGTTGGTTTTATTTTTTCATCTTAAGAGTTACAGGTTCCACTGGTATAAAACTGTACCATATGAGGTAGACAGTTACCAAAGAGATAATAGAAACCTATAAATAACATACTCCGTATTCACTACATGAATCAAAATGCTCAGAAGTTTGAAACTTGACCTGGACCAGAACATTAAACTGTATTATCTCAACCACCACCAGGGACACTATTGGTCCTTATTGCTAACTCAACTTCATGGCTCTCTGGTCTTCTCTCTCATCTTTTTCTCTTCCCTCCTCCCACTCATGTCTATATCTCTCCCTTTCTTTTTCTCTTCCACCCCTAACCTGTGTGTATGTGTGTTTGTGTGTGTCTGTGAGTGTGTCTATATATGCATATATATTTATATCACTGGATAGTTCTAACTATAGATAGTGCCGTGGCGACGGATGGTATGAGGATAAAAAATAATCTCTACTTCCCACCACACTAACCTATACACATGCATAGACATTACATCTTACCATCTTGGTGCCTAAGTATTAAATTTACTTTATTTGGCATCTTATTATTTAATTAAGATAAAAAAATGACTTCATGAAAAACTAGAAAACAAGTAAGAATTCAAATTGATAATTAAATTAAAAGTTAATAACTATTTTTGAACGTTTCTTAAAATTCTTTACGAAACGTTAAAATATATATTATATCTAATCTCTCATTCTTTCATGTTTAGTTTAGTGAACTAAATATATAAAATAATTTCAAATATTTTAAACATTACATTTAAAGGAAAATAACTCAAAATATTTTAAGTTGTTAAAAGATATTTTCTCATTTTAAATATCAAGTAATAAATACATCTATGTTTCAGAGAAAAGCCTATATATGCAACAAGAAACCACATACATTTACCTCAAAATATAGGATCAAATCTGATTTTGAAAACTTGACTATGATGTAAAACTTCTGAAAGGATATAGCATTTAAATAATAATAACATTTGTGCTCTGGTGGAATTAATTCATCATGGACACCATGCACAGTGCATTTGAAATCTAGTACTTCTTTCCTGTAAGTCTTTAATGCCAAGATTGCCTAATAAATCAAAATGCCAAATATGAAGGACATAGTTGAATGTGTAAGAACAAAAAACTGAACAAGTACATGCATATTTTTAATTTTCAAAATCTGAAGGATGATGTCCCTAAAATAATTAGTTGAAAGATATCTGTTAAAGAAAAATATAAGTGATTTAATCTTAGTATAAGAAATGTAATACTAAGTAAGTGAAAATTAAGTTGTTTATAAACAATTTGTCACTACTTTCCATTTGCCTAAAACAAATGCTTGTAAATCTTACTCACAAAATTGAGGTTACATCCTTAGAATAAAAGTCTATGAAGAATAAAATTTAAGAATTTCATTCAAAGACTATGTCAAATA